CCAATAGTTTCGGATATGGCAGGTGGCCCAGAAACAGTCTTAACTGAAAAAAGAGCCGTACTTTTAGTTAGGGCTTCGGTATCCAAGTTTAACAAGACTGATTTAGATGTATTGGTCGTCAAATTAGATGGTAGCTGCATCTGGAATTCTTCCTGAACAAGTCCGTTCATTGTTGTGGCCGGATGTTCAACCGTAGTTGTATTTGTCTTCGGCCGCTTCATGATGGAGGACAATGGCTCACGAACCAGAGTTGGGTTGACAGAGACAGCGACGACTGCTGTAGATAGTGAAGTTTGACCGACTATACCCAATGCGATAGCCCCAGAATGGGTAACTGAGAGGGATGGAGGCTCAGAATCAGAGCTTGTTGATGAAGAGTCAGAATCAGAGGCACAGCTGTTAGATGGCCTGCAAATGAAGTTAAATATTAATAATAAAGGCAATTTGTTTGCTAAATATCTTCATTCAACTTCTTAACTCACAAATACAAATATCGTAATATGGAATTAATGGAATTCTAGAAAGGGTTAGATGAATTAAGTGATCAATAATTTAAGAATACATCTAAGCAAGATGCATGACTGTAAATGTGCTTTTATTGGATTCAAAGATGCTTCGGATGAGTTCATACTTAATATAAATGATTAATGGAGAAAGTTCATGGGTTAAAATATGTTTTGATGCATCACTATTTAATTTGGGGAAAGAAATACAAACTGTGGCTCGAAGAGTACTCTATTAAATTCTTTATAAAACAATTATACCTTGGATAAAGACTATCAAAGATTTATCTCACTTTTCCATAAGACATAGTGGCGAAATGTTGTGTCCACAGTCATAAAATTGCTGAGGCTAGTGATATGAATCAGTTATGGTCTAGATCAAGATAACTAAAAAGAAAACGCTCCAACATTAAAAAAAATAAATATTTCTGTGAATCGTGGGCAGATTCGCTATTCATCCAAAATAAAATCACTTCAGATCTTTATACCTTGGCAGCAATTAACCTGATACCTTTGAAACAAAAACTCTTATAAACTAGGAAGGAGAAAAGTTTATCAAACGAAGGGAATTACTATATCAAAAGTGGTTGATAAAAAATTTAAAGTCTAAATGGTTTACTCTAAGCGCAATCTATAACCAGAACGCTCCATTGAATCGCCTTCATCACCATCCCAAACTTTCCCGATGAATGAAATACATCACAAAAGAAATTGAACAAGCATATAATGACAAACAGTTTACTATTTGCCGAAAAATGAATAATTTAATGTGAAATGTTCGATAACGTATGCATGGATTATATCATTTCTTAAACAAAGAGGGCTAGATCGTAGACATGAAGATCAAGATGGTTTTGCGAAGTAGTCATCAAAACAACGCACAACTACTGTTGGCTGCTAAGGCACATTTTAAAATTCTCCTCTAACTTGTCCGTGAAGACATTAGCCAACAGAAGTGAGAGTGGTGGACTCGCATGCAGAACAAATATTTCGAAGATATGAAAACCAAGATTGTGTGGACCCCGCTATGATCGATTTATATAAGTTGGTTGACCCCGTTGTCGCAACTTGGTGTTGGTGTCATGAAGACTTAGTTGAACCCACCTTGTCCGAAGTACACTGTCATAGTAGTTATCGTAATTCCTGGCATCAGACCGTTGACTTGGTACATTCTCAGACGTTTCGCCGGCATCGTAGGCGGTATCATCAGCGAGTGCTGCTATTCTCCGCACCAAGCTACGAACTCGGCAAAGAGACAGGTGAAGTCAATCCCTCGACCAACGTTCTGCTGAAAACAGTTACACTATCACTCTTTCTGTCCTGGCCTATCTATCAACTCTAAACCTTCTTATAACACTCCTGCCATAGCACAACTTCTCACTTGTTTACATTCCAATCGTGAAAATGTGTGCCCTTTTGTGGAAATTCTAGTATAGCCTCATTGCACCTGCTTTTCACCTCGAGCCACTCTCTTTCGATCGGCTATTACGACTCGGGCCGCCTATCCGGATCTCCCTCACGGTCCCGTAGATCCATTCCTTATTTTTTTGGTTGGCCAATTTCATTCGGTTCCAGTCCCAGTGTGCGTTTTAGTCCAGACGCTATTTCTTAAGGCCCTAGAAGCACGAACACTGCTGCCTCACCAAGCAGAGCGCCTAGGCTCTGGTTGACATACTTGCAGATATCAGGCCTTCCTTTCACGGGTCGTCTCTTTGATTAAGTCCATATAACCTATCCGTGGTCGCATGCTGAATCTAAGTAGATTTCTAGTACATTCTGGCAATAACGTCGACGTTCTGTGACGGCAGCTCATCCGTCCGCCTACCTCCCTGGCTGCAAGGCCCCTAAAGTTGTGCTGATTTCTTAGAACAGACTTTACCCACTGATAACGTCTTGATTGCCGAAAATCCCACCCATTTTCTCATAGCCATCCTTTTTTCTACTGTTAGCTGTAGATTCTTGATCCACGCATCTCCTTTTTGCTAGTTTTGCTCTATTCTTGTTTTCCCCGAGTTAGCTTAAGCAGTAGGCAAAGTTATCGCTAACTCTAAATTCCTCCAATCTCCTGCTTATTAGATTTTTCTCCCCAAGGATGTCAATGGCCTCCATAATTTTCCTCTTCCTTGTGTTGTCACCGTATGCAGCTCTTCTTTCTGTTGCCTTCCAATTGATCTCTTGTCCAGTCTGTACGACGTGTTCCGCTAATTCTGATCATTAAGTATCTATTTTCCTGCATAGCCTTTGATGTTCCTTGATTCGTATGCTAATTGTTCTCCGTGTTTCGCCACTATATTTCTGTTTGCAGGCACCGCATGGTATACAGTAAATTTCAGAACAATCCAATATACCTTTTCATGTTGCGTCGGTAGACTGGTGAAAAGTGTTGATATTTATTTCATGGCCACCTGAATATTCCATTTACTCAATATTAGCCGTGGTTTTTGAGTCCGTTCACAGGAAGGTAGGGGTATCCGCTTTTGTGAATCCTTCTCCATTCTTATTGTTCTTTCATAGTCCTCGTTCTGTCATCGGCTTTACACGGCCCGTATATTTCTTTGTATCATTTCGCTTGGGCAGCCATTGCCTAGGAATATCCTAGTCAATTTTTCCAACATCTCGTTCCAGAATTCTACATCCGTTAAGGGTAGGCTACGGATGATCATGCTCCTCATCTCCTAAATTTAGTCTATAATTGTGATTGGATTGTAAATTGAGTATTATCCCGGCATAAGACTCCTTTCTAAACAATTTCTTTTTGGGAGTCTTATTAGAGCAAATCACTTCAACATCCAGGAACAGTAACCGCTCAGTTTCCTCTACTTCCGTCGTGAATTTAAATTTTTCATTAATCTTGCTTATTACATTCAGAAAATCTTCGAGTTTTTCTCTTC